TTCTCTAAAGAAAATCATGATAGGACACACAAGCTCTAGAATATAGTACCAGCATGTTTATATATGTATTGTCCATATGTAGGCACTGCTGGAATGTTGCTACATCGAAAAGGAAACTTTACCATTGGAAAGCTGAAATCATCCCTTTTTTTTGTAAAAATGTGTTCCCAAAATATCCTCATTGTCAATTTTTAAATGTAATTCAAGAGTTCGACGGGATATATTTATTATAAATAGTCATCATACTTTGAAATATTTAGTGAGAGGATATCATCTATATAGCAGAACTTGAAGCTAAAAGATAATGCTAGCTGCTTTTCCTCCAAACATTACAAACATAAGATTAATCAAGAAAATTCGTTATGATATCAGGCTCAGTGAATTTGTTGTTTGAATCATAGGGCTTTTTAAAAAAGTATGTTTTTACCCTTCGTAAAACAAGATATCTATATCTACGTTTTACCATTCTTAATGAAACAAAGTTGGGCTAATTCTTTCAGTCTGTCTTTAAGTTTATAGTGTTGTTTATGGGTGTTAAGGGTACAGAAGTCAAATGTTTTATACTTTTGCAGGAGGAAAGATACTTAGATTGTATGGCCTCAAACAGATTTCTTCAGGATCTTTCAGTATCCACATCTGATTCGCACATCCCCCTAGAGTAGTTAATTTCAAATTAACTCTGAAGCCCGGACTTGATTTTTTATCGAAATGTAAAATATTTCTTTTAAGTAACAGTGACTTAAATTACGTAAACAGCAATCAATTTTTTTAATTATTTTCTCGCTTTTAGCTGTACTTGAATTTTCACTATATGCCAAATAACGATTATCAAGGTTTATCAAAAAATATATATATTAGCATTTGGAACTCTCTAAAAAAAATATTAGCAATAAATTTATCTATTATTTCAGACAAACATTACATATTTCGGTACAATGTATTGGATTAAACTAAGTTACATGAAAATTTCAGAGCAATATCTTCCTTTAAAGTTACTGTTTAATTGATATTCTGACTTTTGTGTACTTTTGTGTACTAAATAAATGACGTGGGCTTTCCAATAGAAAATTGTATCGAGCTGTTTTACCGCTGTGTTTTGTTTAATTTTGAGAGTTTTATTGTGCAGTTCGCAAAGAGAAACATCGTTCACAATGAATGTTGTATCATATTCTAACAGTCTTAAAAGTGTGTACAGATATTTTGAGGCAGGATAAGGCGACGAAAAAAACTGTGCGATTTTTCGTTAGTGATATTCGTCGGAAATAACTCAGATCTATATAGTTAATGTGTATGTGTTTGACTACTATGGTAGTTGTTCTCGTTGTTACAGGTACCCAATACAATAAAATGACAAATAAAAATTACAATTAGTCTTAATTAGTAAATTAACAGCTAACCTATCTAGTAGAGGAATAACGCAAACATTATCATCTAAATGGTCGTAAGTATGTCAAACTTAGAACCCTTCTTATATAATTGTTAGAATACATCAACAAATGTAGAGTATCGCTAAAATATATTTGAAAGAACTCTGCTTTAAACAACTCTCTGACAGGTCTGTGGCTTTCTTGTTGCAAGGCACAATTTCTGCCTTTATCCAACATACCCTCATTTTCAATCGACAATCAACATTTCTCGCCCTTCATCCAAGTAGTCTAACCATGTAAAACCTACCTTTTGTACGAATTATTAATTTGTTTTTGTTCTGATAGCAGATCATTGATAAATCTGTTTTAGTTATTCACAATCACGTGTTATTTTAGACTCAAGACGATTTAGAACTTTCCATCTTTTATAGACGCCTGTCTACTGTAGAAGACGTGTGTTGGCATCTATATATGTAATCTGGGTATTTGTGTGTGTGGGTTAATGTTTCATTTATACCCCTTTCCACATCTATTCATACGACTTATATAAAAATAAGAAGATGTGGTATGATTGTGAATGCAAAGAGACAGCTCTCCACTAGAGACCAAATGACATAGAAGTTAACAACTATACGTCACCGTACGGCCTTCAACATTGAGCAATTATAACCTATTTAATGTTAATAAAGAAAAAGCTTCGCTTGCTTTTTTTTTCTATGTACGATAAGAATAGTTGGTGTCTATAAACGGTAAATCTGGATATTTTGTGTCGTGTAGTTGCTGTCTCAATGACGATCAACCAAACATAGGTTTTATACGTTTGTGTAGTAGTAAATTACATTTCAAACTACGCAAAGGCATACAAAAGCCATATAGTACAATTACATTTTTTAAAAATTAACAAAGAAAAAAACTATTTAATCCTCGTTAACCTTAGAAATACAACGGAAGTTTCTATTACTTTAAATGTAAATCTGACTTTGTCGTTCCAAAAATAAGGGCGCATTTTTCAGTTGATTAAAGAAACTGTCATTTTAAAAACAACTGAGATGGATTTGAGTATTATCATTCTTTCGGAGAACATAATCTTATACCATTTATTAGTTATCATTTGCATTCAAATTGCCAATGCTTTAGTTTCTTGGATCGCCAGCTGTTTCATTTGGACATGTCTTTGGGGTAAATTCTGTATTGTGCCTCGTCTTTTTACGTCATCTTGTATTGTCCTATAAGGAATTCCGACATTTTGATTTATAATTTAAATTGGCACAAGATTTATGTAACAAAATACCCTTTTTCCCTGTGAGCTACGCTTCAGACATTCGGACCACTCTCTCGATGACTTAAATCGCATGAAATGTCTTGTGACTGAACAGATCAATTATTGAGATAATACTCAGCGGAAGGATTGTGCTATCATTGAAAATGTCGTACTAATGTAGTTTACTTTAAACTATCATGCTACATAAAGCTTTTATTGTATGGCAGTTGTTAGTATACTTATTTACTTCCGGATGTAGAAAAAAGCTTAAATACCAAAAACAAATCCTCCGAGACAAATTTAAAGATTGTCCATAGTAATCTTCACCACAGCACAAAGGTTTATATATCTGGCTTCATGCAGACAACAACATACTGAGAAAGAGAATAATTGTCTCCAGTCAAGATTAGATCACTATGAAATGATTTTATATTGAATCTCAGTTTATTTTTCAAATATAGTCGTCCTCAAGGGTGACTGGGGAATAGAAATATGGTCATTACTGGTCTTCTTCCGACCGGCAGTAAAACCATTGCCGAAGTGGGGCGTTCGTTTGGTTTCTGCCGGATTTACAAGTACGCAGCGACGTCTGGTCAGAATGGCGACGTTAAATCCGATGCCTCGTGAAGAGAGAGTTCCACACTCTCTGCACTTTAAGAACCATTGCAACAACTCTTTGAGGAGTCCGTAGGTGGCCTGTTGCAATGCACAATTTCTGTCCCATCAAATTTACCCTCATTTTCAAATGGCAGTCTAACTTTATACCCGACCTTCATCCCGGACGGTCTTTATCAAATGACATACCTATTGTATTTATTGTTAATTTGTTCTCGTCCTGAACATGCATGAAATATTTGCCACTAGATGTTAAGCAACCAACAATCAATTAAATATAGTCTACCATGCAACAAATTGCAATCAAGTCGCGAAGTATTTTGATAAATAAAATGTTTGATGTCCTAAATCCGACAAATGCAGTCAAATGGAAATATGTTTTCATCCTGTTGGTAGTTGGGCTTCGCGTGTTTTTTATTTTGTCTTGTACTTTTACGACATATGGTCTAAAAAGGCAAAGTTTGGAGGCTTGTGCGCACCACATATGGTGTTTGTACTAATCCAGGATATTGTTAATGTTTTGTCTTTTTCAGTACGTTGATTTTTTTTTTGGAAGAGTCGGGTGTTGGTGTTTGGTGTGATCCTATATATATTTGGTGGTTCCTGTTGTCCTTATGAGTATTATGTTTACGTCCTTCGTTCATTAAAACAAAACAAGTATTCCAAAGAAGCTACGTAACGTTTGCAAACAATTTAAGTGAAGAGGAGAATTTTGTATTGTAAACGTATGATAAAATTGAGAATGGAAATGGGGAATGTGTCAAAGAGACAACGACCCGACCATAGAGCAGACAACAGCCGAAGGCCACCAATGGGTCTTCAATACAGCGAGAAACTCCCGCACCCGGAGGCGTCCTTCAGCTGGCCCCTAAACAAATATGTATACTGGTTCAGTGATAATGAACGTCATACTAAACTCCAAATTATACACAGGAAACTAAAATTAAAAATGATACAAGACTAACAAAGGCCAGAGGGTCGATTTCGGAGGTCACAGCACGTGTTGTTACCTTTAATTCTTTATAGGATAATACTTGTGACCTGATAAACTTCAGCTTAAATGCAGCATAAGAAGACATAACATTATATTTATGCTTTAAACCACAAGGTCATAATAGCTTTAGAACACAACGAAATCGCCCAGAAGTCCAGTAAAGCTTTCCGATCTGTGTTGGAGAAAAAATGTAATTCAAAGCGGACACATGTACGATCTTAGATAATAAAACTTGAACGGAGCACCTGAGATCACCCCTAGTTTTTGGTGGGGTTCGTGTTGCTTGGTCTTTAGTTTTCTATGTTGTGTCATCTGTACTATTATTTGTCTGTTTGTCTTTTTATTTTTGGCCATGGCGTTGTCAGTTTGTTTTCGATCCATGAGTTTGACTGTCCCTCTGGTATCTTTCGTCCCTCTTTTGAAACTATCGTTCAACGGAGCTTTCAAATATTAGATTAGGAATATAAAAGGTCAAACACCAAAGCAATAAATGCTAAATAGCTAACATTACAGAAAACAGCAGTACAATTTTTCGACCTAAAAGAACTCTGCTGAAGAAAAAAAGTAATGAAAAACTCTTAAACTAGATCCGGCAGATAAAGACTGAGTTAGGATTTGCTAAGAAGTGTTGTATGATTGCAATACAAAAACTAGTTGTCCCAATTGGACAATATACTTATATCTATTAGCTCGAATTGTAAAATGTGAATACATGCAGAATACTGAATTGATTAATAATAACTTTCCACTTAAAATTGATTCTTTAATATATAATTTTATGATTAAAGCTTTTTTCTAAAATTAGATGTGGTTGACAGTATGGAGGTGCAAATAGGCTCAATATATACAACAACGTGTTTACGAATTTCCAAGAAACCTACAAAAAGTAAACAAAATACATGTGTTAAACAGAACAATATAAATGTTAGGAATAAAGGTTTATATATTTAATTGTGCTTGTTAACATTTTTGGTTTAAATGTTTCATGTATGTAATTGATATCTTCTCTGTTCTAAGTGGGTAAGAGATATAAGTACACAGACTTCAATAAGCAGTAACCTGTCATATAAAATGTTAATGAATGTGGGTATACATCAATGAGACAGCAACCCAAAGACACAAACTATAAATTTAAAAGTATATGTTGATGTCAACATGCAGTCTTAAACTAAAGGACTAGTGACACTTTTAATTGTAATCTTCAACTGTCATAAATGCGTTTGGCGTAAAAATTGAGTTCACCATGCATTTTTTCAAATCTTTAAATTGTAACTTTAAAGCATGAAAATAGTTTGAATTTTGTAAACGTAATATTATAGTCAACGGAAAGTTTCAAGCATCAAGGAGGTGTGAAACTGTCTCGAATTTTGACCTGTTCGTTTCTACTAGAAAATAAAACTACTTACCAATGCCAATATATCAAACTTGAGGTCATTGATAAAGATGAAAAACACAAAACAGTCGTACAAGTTATCACTAAAATCTTAATCCAATTAACCTGCTGTATATCTGAAACTTGAAGTACAGAGGGTTTAATTGTATTTTGTGTTGTTTTTGTTTTGTTGATTTTTTATTTTTTTGTATTGGTTACTTGTATTTGTTCTTTTCAAAATGTCTAGTCGAAAGTTTTAACTTTTAAATTTCTATTCTAGGTTTATAATCAATAATAGAAAACTGTTTATAAAGTAATAATTCTTTTAATATGAGTAAGGGATGTTAATACATCAACCCATTGACGCAAATAAAAACTGAAGGACACTCAGGAGTCAAAATACGGCGATTAACATCAATAGGAAAGTGTATATACAATATGTCTAGCTATGATAAATACCCCCGGACTTCAACGGTTAACGTTTTATATATTTATTATGTAAACTAAGCAATACTTCTGATACTGAAAACGTTTGCAATGTTTTCCCGAAAATTTTGTCTCGTATGTGTTTTAAGGTGCTGAAAATGCGTATACTTTGATAACATAAGAACACCGTAAAAAGTATTATCATTAACTAAGGAGTTCTATTATTTAACAACTGAATTTAGCACATGTCTGACCAACATTTAAAAAAATAGTTCAGGAGTACTTCCGAATCGGCTAGTTGTAAATTCTTAAACTGTTTAAATTATTACATGACATTTCCTTGTAAATTTTTAAAGTACCCATTGTCGATAGAGTGTGGAAAAGGTGATGCTGTCATGTAATTCTATTTATAATTTATAACGTAGTGTACGTAGAGCATGCGGTGTACGTACTCCAATATTTATTCAGGTTTGGAGTTTGCTATCGCGAGCTAATCTCCCACATTTTTTTAAAATAAAAATTACACGTATATGTAACTCTAGACTCTTTTCTTCCCTTAGTGGTATTATACATGTACCACGTTTTCTAAAATTGACATTTGTTTTGTGTTTTCCTTCTTCGACAGACTTGACATGATTTTTTTTGTAAGATTTCTTTGCCCAAATTAAAACATTTTGCTTCTCTGTTTGTGATATTTGACGGACATTCTCTTCTTTTTGTTTATACCAATTTTGTCTCTTCATTTTACTTGCCCACCTAACGATAATATAATTTTAAACAAAAAAACACTGAAATAGCTTCACCTTTACGGATCAAAATATTCTACAAAGCAGTTCTCAAACAAAAAGTCAACATCTATAACGCAAAAGTGTACTAAAAAGTTTTAATTTTAAGGAAACCTCGAAGCTTAAAAGAATTCAAAAACTGTCTAAACTTACACCGCGAAGACAAATATTGGGCGGAGGAAGCGGTATCTATGATTTCTTTAATCTCTATTTTAGGAGGATTAAATGGGAGTACGACTCAATCAGAAAAGTTTGGATTGTTAATGGAAAGACCATCGTCGATGTATATGAAATTAAATAATCTTGCTTCTTTGATCTTATTGTTTTTTTTACATGTTTCTGAAGGACCTTCGACTCATATTAAAATAAGAAAAGGTCGACAAGAAGAGGCGCGCAATAAGTTCCAATATGAATGCCGACAACCTGCTGGAAAAGTCTATCTCCTAAAATTGATAACACCTCTACTGTTTCTAATTTCAACGACATTTCCAATAATTTATCAGTCCAAAGCCTGAAAACTTCAAACATGGAAGATGGTCTCGTATTACTCATTTTCGTTTATATTTAATATGTAGAAATGCTGCCATACCTGTTGAATTCGAAGTATCATTTGATGTATGAAATATCCTTTCTTCTATATCTATACATACAAAAGTATGAATCAAAACAAACAAAAACTTAGCAGTGTGACAACAAATTTTGTGCATGCAGTAATTCCTCCCCATCCCCCCTTTTACGAATAACGATACATTTACGTCTTACTTGACAGTATTACAAAAACGTTTACTCTTGTGCTCATATCTTCAAAAGTGCATCTATTCATTATACTGTCTTAATTGTTTAAGTCCCTTTGCCGGATGTAATGTGTATGCTTTCAAACAATATAACAATTTGCCTTTCAGATATTTTTGTTTTGAGTGTACTGATCAAGGTTCCAGAAAACATGCAAGGAAATCGAAACAAAAACAAATTTCGAGATTGGATGTTCCCTCAATATAAAAGCAACTATGTATTTGAATGTTACCTTCTTAGAGATTCTGAAAAAAGAAGTAAAATTGCGTCGGCCTTTTGCTAAAAAAATTACCTATTAAAATAACAATTTATATCTCGGAAACTCTTATTTGAAATAAGCATGAGGGTTGAAAAGGGTCTAACATGCGATAAAAATAATATCGGAGCTGATATACAAAATGATGTGTCGTAATCAAATTAAACCGAAATAAACGGTTACTTTTTCTTCATTGCAAACTCCCAATGTCTTTTGGTTTTCTATCTAATCAAGGTTAACGCAACATTGTTATATTGTGTTTTGTATACTGTTGTGTGTCTTTTGTTTTTTTCTTCTCTTGTTTTTTGCCATGGCCTTTTCAGTTTATTTTCTACTTATGAGTTGGAATGTCTCTTTGGTATCTTTAGCTTCTCTTTTATCCATACTTCATTTAAAACTGTCCTTTTTCACGATTTGTTGGCTTCTAATTTGGTATGGCGCATTGACACATCTTTTAAGCATGTATTCATATTGAAATAAATTTCAGAGTTTAAAATAGTCAACATAGGAATTAAGGTTTATTTTTTCTAATATGGTAGAACTTAATTTTTTTTTCGCCTAATCGTTTAGAATTATTTATTTGGTAAATTTCGCATCGTAATATCTTGCATCAAATCAAAATTGTAACCATAGTATTACCTGTAGTACAATTAGGGAATAGAGAATCACAAATGCATCCCACAACATTATTGCACCTGAAATACGAGAATATTTGTGAGTGAACTATCCATCGTTAAATACGCATAAGCTTAGATATCAATGATTAGAAAATGTGTATTCTACTATTACGTTTTGCATTTGCATGTGAAGAAAACAAATGCAGTTTTATGAAGCAAATAACATGGTAATTATTTATTATAATTTTAATATACATCAAAAACGATTCTCCTGTATTGTGTTTTAAACAGACAAAAGGTGACCGCTAGCTTTGTCAGATGAAACTAGAAGTTAAACAAGGTCAACAAAACATGTTTAACCCCGCCGCATTTTTGCGCCTGTCCCAAGCCAGGAGCCTCTGGCATTTATTAGTCTTTGTATGTCTTTTAATTTTATTTCATTTATAAGTTTTGGAATTTAGTGTGACGTCCATTTTCACTGAACTAGTACACAATTTTATTTAGGGGCCAGCTGAGGACCACTTCCGGGTGCGGGATTTTCTCGCTGCGTTGAAGACCCATTGGTGGCCTTCGGCTGTTGTCTGCTCTTTGGTCGGGTTGTTGTCTCTTTGACATATTCCCCATTTCCATTCTCAATTTTATCAAATATAAAATGTGGTTTGGCAAACAAGTTCTGCCTCTACTATTTTCACAAATCTGATAGTAGAGAAACATTACAAAATAACTGATAATATGTTCCACTTATCGCAGTCAAATTCCTGTCCTCTTTTCCTCATTTTTACATCCCCATGTGTTTGCTTGAAATCATCAACAGGTTACGAGTGAGATGCTAGAGTACCGTTCCAAGATTGGAGAAAAATCTCTATTTTACCATGCGCATAGTTCCAATGATAAAGAAACGAAAGAATATGAAAAAAATAATGCAGAAATGATGACTTGAATGAAAATAGAAGTTTTATTTTAATCTGCATCATAAACTTCATATCTATTGTATTAGGTTTGTTCTGTCTGCGGAGTCGTATGGCCTAATATCTAATGACACTGCTGTCTCATTGTATTTGTTTTAAGTCTTCCAAAAAAATGAAAATATTCATTTAAAAATCCCCCTGATTCAAACCATGTTACGAAATATTATATGCATGCTAAACAACCGCAAGAAAGACTGTAATTATAACATGTTCAAAGAAAGCACATGCTAACGGTACAACGTAGAATCCAGAATAAGCGCTTAATACAAATACTATTAGCATATGGAATTTTATTAAACATCGTATTTATCACTTATATACCTGAATAATTATTAACATACTATAGTTTTTTTACAAAGCTATATGCTTGTAACGAGATCAACTTGAGATATTTTAAGTAACATACAAGGACAAAAAGAGTGCGGAAGATACCGAGGGGACATTTAAAACTCAAGAGAAACTGCCAACTCCATGGCAAAAAAAAAAAAAACAGAAAAAAGACGACGAGACAAGTAAATTCATAAAACACTACACAGAAAACTAATGACGAAACACCTCGAGCCGTACCAAAATCAGGATGTGATCCCAGGTGAACCGAAGGGTATTCAGATCCTGCTCCACTAGAGACACCCGTCTTGTTACTGCTAAGAGAACCGTTGGTAAGCTTAATTAAGTGTTTAGGGATCACATAATGGCGGATTAGTATGGATTAGCTACATAAGGAAATGCCGGAACCAAGTCAGGAATATGACAGTTGTTTTCCATTCGTGTGATGTGTTTGGGCGTTTAATTTTGCCATTTGTTAATGGACTTTCCGTTTTGAATTTTCCTTGGAGTTCGGTATTTTTGTTATTCTACTTTTTAGTAATTGACTCTTATGCAACCCTAAGACATCACCAAATGCGTAAACCATCGAGCATGTATTGTGAATTGATACACGTTTTAGGACAAATGATAGACAAGACTATTTCATGTAGATACAACACAAACATTTAAAAATAAAACATAAACATAAGGTACAACTTAACAATTAAGGCAAGAACAACAAGAACCCCTTTTTAACAAATATAAGGGGGACCTCAGGTGCTCCGGAAGGCTAAGCAGATCCTGTTTCACTAGTTGCACCCGTTGTGTTTCTCATGATTAGAAATAGTAATTTGATGAGTCTAATTCGGTGATGTCACAATAGTGGAAATGACGAGATTGTGGCTACGACAATTGGAAAATACCAATGGTCATCTGTAACACAGATATTCTATAATGGTCAACCAACTCGTGATGGCGTTCGTAAAACTTCGAAGGGATGACTTTTACTTTACTATTTGGAACCCTTAATTCATTAGCTTCCTTGGAAATCATGATAGGAAACCTAAGGCTAGTCAACTGGGAGATATGAACACCATATACAGGCGCTGCTGGAATGATGCTACATAAAAATGGAAAGTTCACAATTGGAAAGCTGATGTCATCCCTTTTGTCGTAAAGTCTTTTGTTTTCAAAAGTTCAAAAGGACCAACTTGTTTACTTGTTAATTTATTGATGTAAGCTTAAGTCAGCATATGAGACCAACTTTACTGTATATTTGGTATTCTTCACGAGTATTCTATGTAGTGTTACGAGTTACAATTTATGACTAAAATCACAAAGACTCATCGAAACAACATCTGATACAAAAATCTGATAACACTTTTAGATATTTGGATGATATATTGGCTCTTAATAATTACGACTTCAGTAAGTACATTAAAGAGATTTATCCTGCTGAACTGACTTTAAATAAAGCTAATACTCACAAAGAACACTGCCCTTTTCTGGATCTTGTTATCTATATCTTTAACGGGAAGCTGGATACCAAAATTTATGATAAAAGAGATGATTTTTCATTTCCTATTGTTAATTATCCATTTTTAGATGGTCATGTTCCCTTGTCACCATCTTATGGTGTTTATATATCTCAACTTGTTCGATTCGCTCGTGTATGTTACACGTGCTTGATTTTAACGAAAGAAAAAATTATAACACCAGGGTTTTCGATATCACAAACTTGTCAAAACATTTACTAAATTTTATCATCGGTACAAGGACATAGTTCGTAAATATAAATCAATGTGCAGACATCTTAAACGTTCAGGTATTTCACATCCAATCTTTCAAGGTAATATTCAATACAAAGCACAAAAATGTCGTCATTCACCTCAAAAGCTAACCAAACCTTTAAACAGACTTATTCAGAAGGGATATAGTAACGATACTGTTGTCAGGTCATTAAAGATGGCAATTTTTGGAATTAATATTGATTCACTCATATGGTCTTTGCATCGGAAATAAACACTTTTTCTTCTCGTATATTTTATGATGGTATGATTGACACTAAACCCCTAACGGAAGGGATTGTGCTTGATTTTCATACGATGAAGACATAATCTTTCAATCAGTTTAATTGAGGGGTGGAGCTGGCATGTCAGTAACTGCTAGTAGCCCTGTGTTAATTTATGTATCATTGTATTTTGCTTAGTTTCTTCTTTTACCTATTCTGAAATCGGACTCGGACTTCTTTTAAACTGAGTTTTACTGTGCGTGTTGCTGTCTATTTGTTTATTCTACATTGTCTAGAGGTATAGGGGGAGGGTGGAGACCTAAAAAACATGTTAAACCCCGCCGCATTCTTGCATCTCATCACGGTCCCAAGTCAGGAGCCTCTGGCCTTTGTTAGTCTTGTATGTCTTTTTAATTTTGGTTCATTTATATGTTTGGGGTTTAGTGTGACGTCCACTTTCGCTGAACTGATATACATTTTTGTTAAGGAGCCAGCTGAAGCCCGCCTCCGGGTGCGGGATTTCTCGCTGTGTTGAAGACCCATTGGTGGCCTTAGGCTGTTTTCTGCTCTTTGGTCGGGTTGTTGTCTCCTTGACACATTCCCCATTTTCACTGAACGAAAAAAATGAGGTCGAGCATTTTGGTGATGTCGGTCTTTTTGTTTTCTTTTTAATCAGAGTATATTTTTACAAAGTATGACTTTTCATTTCTTAAAACAAGATATTTTTATCTACTACACTACCAAGAATTTACCAATGTTTTTTTGGTACATTTCTACCCTCGTACATATCAGTACTGTTCGGCAAGACTAAAAACTTGTAATGTTATACTTTCTATTAATTCAGTACTGTTTATTATTATACAAAAACTGTACAATTACTAATTCTATAAATTCAGTACTGATTTTTTCAGTACTGTTTCAGTACTGATTTTGTCAGTACTATTTCAGTACTGTTTCAGTACTGCTTTCTTCGGTACTGTTTCATTATGATACTGATTAAGTCAGTACTGTTTCAGTACTGATTTTGTCAGTACTGTTTCAGTACTGATTTTGTCAGTACTGTTTCAGTACTGATTTCTTCAGTACTGTTTCATTATGATACTGATTAAGTCAGTACTGTATCTGTACGGAACATTTCATTACTGTTTTAAGTATATTCTTACTTTTTTTCAGTGCATGGATTAATGTGTTCATTTAAAGAAAGATGTCATTTCTTTAAGTACGTAGCTGTGCACTTTAGTTTATTTATCTTACAATTGGTTAGAATGTTTACATTTGAATGCATACAGTGATGCCAATTTGAAAATAAAAAGAACTGAAAAACTAATCAACTAGGTAATTATGTATTAATAGCAAAATTAAGGTATCGGTGGTCTTAGGTTGTTTTGTACATTTGGGTTGGGTTAATTGTTCTCTTTGACACTTACCCCGTTTCCATCCTTTTCTATACTGTGACATGTTGATGATTTCGTTATGTTTTTTTATTTCTCTGATTTTTTGTTCTGATTTTGTTTTACTTTAGGTCCAGCTCTTCAACAGTTATTTTAGCTGATTTTTCAATATTTTGGCATTGTCAAATTTGCATCTCATTCTGGTGCGGTCAATTGATATGGTTTATGTTTTTAGTAAGTTCTTATTAATATTGTTTTTATATTTGACAATATCATATTACATGTATCTGTGTCTTGAATGAAAAATTTTGTCCTGCATTTTTTTTAGTTGTAATCTGTCCTGCCTTTTTATTTTACACTGTGTTCGGTCCTGCCTTTTTTTTTTAAAGTTTATTTTGACTT